GGACAGGTTGTGCCCCTTGCATAATGATTCATGCCCTGTCCTGTTGGGCTGTGTTACAAATAGCCACCAGTGGAGGTCACCCACTGCCCAGCATAGCAACCAGCAAGGTACACTACATCACACCGGGTTGTTCAGAAAACTTTTTTTAATGAACCACATCTAAACTGCTTTCTTTGTAGAAAAAACTGCTTAAGAAAAAAAGAGATTGGAAGAAGATATTCAAATTAGCATATTTCTTTTGAAAGAAGGGAGTTGTCTAGATGTACAATCTGTGTGAAAGGGATTGTTCCTTCCTATGTGGAGCACTTTGCTTTTGTCCTTATTCAGCTTTATCTCAGACCATTTCTGTAACTTCTAAACCTACCCCTTTTGAATTCTAGCCCTACCCCATTTGCAGTAGCAGTCACTGTGCTAGGTATCTAATCACCTAGCCTGTTCTGCTCTGCCCTCAGAGACAGCACTTCCCCATACTCACACCCTGAGTCTGAGGCTGTGTCTGAACTACAAAGAAAACTCAGAAAAAGATACACAGATTGCGAACCAAAATTTGCATCTCTTTTTCCCCTTTTCATCCAAGAGAGGCTTTTCTGAAATTTGTCCTGTCTACATTGGGCCAAATTTTGGGGGAAAAAACCTCCTTTGGAACATCCCTTCTTCCTCGTAGAACAAGATTCACAGGGATGCCGAAAAATGCGTTGCTTTTCTGGATGTCTACGTCTACACTGGCATGAATTTCCGAAAATGCTTTTAACGGAAAAGTTTTCCGTTAAAAGCATTTTCGGAAAAGCGCGTCTAGATTGGCAGGATGCTTTTCCGCAAAAGCACTTTTTGCGGAAAAGCATCCGTGGCCAATCTAGATGCAGTTTTCCGCAAAAAAGTACTGATCGCCTTTTTCACGATCGGGGCTTTTTTGCGGAAAACACTACTGTGCTGTCTACACTGGCCCTTTTGCGCAAAAGTCTTTCGGAAAAAGATTTTTGCCCGAACGGGAGCAGCATAGTATTTCCAGAAAAGCACTGATGATTTTACATTAGATCATCAGTGCTTTTCCGGAAATTCAAGCAGCCAGTGTAGACAACTGGCAAGTTTTTCCGGAAAAGCGGCTGATTTTCCAGAAAAACTTGCCAGTCTAAACTCAGCCAAATTGTTTTCAGAAAAGCAGATGTGTTCCTTGGACATGGCAGAGCTTTTCCGGGATAACTCTGGTACCTTTTGAAAGGTCCATAGTCATTCTAGACGTATCCTGAATGTAACAATTAATCTAGGGAAATGCCACAACCCCATTCCACAGCTGCAGCCCTAAGCCAGTGCCAAACCCTCAGTTCCTGGCCGTGTCCCCGGCCTCAGCCTTGGCAGCACCGACCCAGAGCCGCTTCTCTATGAGCACCCCACCCCCGCCCCTGAGAGGGGGAGAAGAGCAGTCCGTGATGTCTCTGTGGCCATCTGCCCCTGCCCCCCGGGCTTCCTCCTGCCGCTCAGAGACGCCTCTGCGACCTCCTGGCCTGAGATCCCCCCATTGGCCCCAGCCTCTCGTGATTTCCCTGGGTCGCAGGGACCCTCGCTGCTCAGGCAGCCCCTGCCCTGACCCTTCCTGCAGCGCG